CGCCTCCTGTGCGGCGCCTTCCCCCCCCCCGCGCCTTTTCGCCTTGCCAATTCGGTCGTCAGCCCGCCCGAGCGGAAATGCGCCCCCCCCCCTCCCCGGCACCGCGGGCCATCTGCGAATGAGCACTTGCTAACTGGCGTGCTGAATACCGGCCTGAACCGGGGCGGACCGGGATCCAGAATATCCAATCGCCCGGCACCGACGCCGGCTCCCGGCTGACGGCCATCGCCGCGCCGGCCTCGGGCCACAACTCCCGTGCCGTGGTGCTCATTTGGCGCAACCTCAAGTTCACCCCGGTGGCCAGTGAGTCGCTGCCGACGCGCGTGGCTTCGGCCTTCCGGAAGGTCACCTGCCGGGCGCGGCGGGCCACCGGTCGTGACCGCCAGCCATTGCTCAGCGATGGTCGGGAGAAAACCGGCCCCGGCGTGCGCACCGGCAACCAGTACAATGAGCTCACCTCGATCCAGGGCAGCCCGATGCCGGGGGCCGGGGCCCAGGAGAAGCTCTTCGACCTGGACAGCACTTCGGGCGGCAAGCTGCCGGTGCACGCGGCAAAGCGCACGCCCGCCATGGGCGCCAGTGCGGCCGCATCGGCCGCCGGCAAGTCGGTCGGCCGCGGCTTCGGCCTGAGTGCCAACAACATTGAGACCGACCCGGAGTCCGACATTTCGGAGTCCGGGTCCGACAGCGACCGGTCCGACGTGCCGAGCTTCGGCCCGGGGTTCGACTCGGACGACAGCGACTCCGACCTGGAGCTCGGCGAGGATGGCGAGCTGCTGGATGACGACTGGACGCAATCTGGCGAGGGCCAGCTCGGCCGCGACTTGACCGACACCACGGGCACCAGTGACTCGCGCCGGGTGGCCGGCGCCGGTAAGACCGCCCGCCAGCGGCGCATTCTCCACGGAGTGACCGGTGTGGCTGGCGCTGGCGAAATGATGGCCATCATGGGTAGCTCCGGCGCGGGGAAGGTATGTCGCAGCCCAGTCGCCTGGGAGCACTTCGCGTGGGCCTCCAGCCGCCAAACATTCGGCCAGACTGGCGCCCCAGAGATGGAGTGGAGTGTTGCTGCCTGCTCGCCAGGGTCCTGCCTTCCTGCCGGCCCGACAAAAGACAAGACCTTCTGCTGCCTCCCCTTGCGAGGGGGGAGGAGGCCGGGCTTTCTTCCCTTTTCCTGACCTTCCCACGCTCTGGCTGACAACATCATCCCCTCCTAGACCTCCCTGCTGAACATCCTGGCCGGCCGGACTCGGCGCTTCAATGGCATGGTCATTGTCAATGGCCGCGCCTGCGATGCCGAGAAACTCCAGTCCGTCAGTGCCTACGTCATGCAGGATGACCTGCTGCTCGGGGCCTTTAGCCCGCGCGAGCACATGCTCTTCAGCGCTCGGATGCGCCTCCCGCGCACGGTCACAGCCCAAGAGCGGGTGCGTCAGCCACTTGACCGGGTGACCGCGCCTCGCGTGCCCCCCCCCCCCCTCTCCCACACACACACACACACACCGCCAACACATCCCGGCCTCGATGCACAACTCCCGGGAAGAAGGGAAAAGGGTGGTCTGTGTATTCTAACGGTGCTTGCACCTCGCCTGCCTGCCTGCTTGCTCACTTGCTCGCCATGGGGTCGCTCCTTCTTTGGCCCATCCGCTGGGTGCCATGCGCCGCGTGGCCCTGCAGCTCAAGCGCGTGGAAAGCCTCCTCGAGCTGCTGGCCCTCCAGGCGTGTGCCGATACGCCCGTGGAGAAGGTCAGCGGCGGAGAGCGCAAGCGGACGTGTATCGGCATCGAGCTGGTCACTCGGCCAGGGCTGCTCTTTTTGGATGAGCCAACCAGCGGCCTGGATAGCTTCACCGCTCTGGCCGTGATGCGGGTCATCCGTCGTACGTCTCGGCAAGAGGCGCCACACGCCTGGCCCCTTGGCCCCGGCCTTTGCCCTCTGGCCCCGTTGCCCCTCCTCCGCCCGGGCCCTCTAGCGGCATTCTAACCGGCCCTGCTCGCGAAACAGGCATCAGCTCCGAGGGATGCACCGTCGTGTCGACCATTCACCAGCCGAGCTCGGATCTCTTTTCGCTTTTCGACCGGCTGACCCTGCTTCACAAGGGCCGTGATGTGTATCACGGAAAGGCCGCCACCGCCATCGACTACTTTGCCAAGGTACGAAATGCCGCGACACCCGTCTTGCCGAGGGCATCCCGACAGGCATGCTGACCTATGCGACTTCTCCGTGCCCTTTCTTCCTCGCCTCCCCGCGCCTGTCATGTGGCGGGATCCTTGGAAAATGTGCCTTCCCCGAATGTCCCTCGCTCTCTCTCTCTCTCTCTCTCTCTCGCCGGCGTGGTGATGCTCGGCAACGTGCCCGGCCATAGATCAACTTTCCCTGCCCCAGCTTTACCAATCCGGCAGACCACCTGCTGAACCTCCTTCACCGGCCGGATGATCGGCCCTTGCAGCAGTATAAGCGGGACATTGGTCGAATTGTCAGCAGCTGGCGCACCCAGACCCGCGCCGAGAAGCGCGCCGCCGAGGCCGCCTCCGTTTCCCAGGCCGCCGCCCGTCTGGCTAGCAAGAACCTGGTACGCTCACACACACACACACACACACACACACACACACACACTTCGGCCCATTCGGCCCGGCCAGCCGCCTTCCCTCGGGGGGAGGCATAGCCGTCCCATGTCCTTTCCCCTTCCTCGGCTGCTGCCCCCAACCAGCCATGCCCTCCTGACCGCTTTGGCACTGTCACGCCCACTTCCCTGGCGCTACTTCCAAAGAGCGAGGGCCTTGCTGGTGATGGGATCGCCCTCGGGGCGCTGTCCTCCCCGACGGCCAGCGAGCGCTTCATCTCCCCCTACATGCCGACGTACATGCTTCTGGGGCAGAATGGCACCGAGTCCCCGCTGGCCTCGCGACGCAGCCCGGCCATCGTGCGCCATCGGCGCCTTCCCTGGTACAAGGAGTTCGGCCTGCTCTTCCAGCGTGCCTTCATCATGTACATGCGCAGCCCCGGGTCCATGCAGATTCGCCTCATCCAGTCGATCATCATTGCCCTGGTGTTCGCCACCATCTACTTCGACCTCGGCACCAACATGGGGTCCCTGCAGAATCGCACCGGCTTCCTCTTTGCCCTGGTCACCGGGCTGATTATCAATGGCATCCTGCCGGTGGTGCTCATGTGTGCGTGGAAAGCGGGGGGGAAAGAAGCTACTCCGGCGAGAGAGGGGGGGGGGGGGGCCGGCCGCACCGCCAGCCCACTTGCGGAACCACAACCGACCCACAGTCACTGACACCCGAAGGCCGCCCCCGCATCACCCTGCCGAAATGCCATCGCCCGCATGGACGTGCAGTCCCTCTCGAGCGCGCGGTCTTCCTCCGTGAGCAGATGTCCCGCACATACCGGATCTGGACCTACTTCTCCTCGAAGGTCCTGGCGGATGTGCCCTTCACCCTGGTGTTCTCGTCGATCTTTGGCACTCTGACCTACTGGCTGATTGGGCTGAATGCCACGGACCCGACGCGCTTCCCGCTCTTCCTGCTGATTGTCTTCTGCCTGAGTCTCTCGGCTCAGGCTCTTGGCGTGCTGATTGGCTGTGCCGTGCCGGACCTCATCGGCGCCATTGCCATTGCCCCGGTCTTCCTGCTGCCCCTCATTCTTTTCGGCGGATTCCTCATCAACATCGAGTCCATCCCGGTGTGGTTCTCCTGGTTCCAGCATGTCAGCATCCTGGCCTATGGATTTGAGGCCATGATGATCAACGAGTATCGCGGCCTCAAGTTGGAATGCACGCCGGAGGAGCTAATCCGCCTGCCCCCGCCGTTCAATGTCGAGTGCGTGGCACATGCAATGGCTTTTTTCTTTTCCCCCAGCTCCTTCGAGCGGCCTCCGGGGCGGGGGATTCCCCAAGGACGGCCGGCATCGGCGGGCCATTTCCCAGCAGAGTAGGATCGGATTGTGGAAGGGGTGGCGGAGCGCGGGGGGGGGGGGGGGGGGGCGAAAGAAACTACCTGGCAAGGAGATACTGACCTTTCCGTGGGGCCGGGGGAATAAAACCATCGAACCACCTGCAGAATCTGCCCGATCGAAAGCGGTGACCAGGTCCTCCGGTACTTCGACTTCAATCCGGAACGCCTGTGGCCGGATATCTACTGCCTGGGCGCCCTCATTGTCGGGACGTACCTGCTGGCTCTCGCTGTCCTGGGCATGGCCACGTACCGGCACCTTCGTAAGACCTGAAAACCTTCCCCACGAATCGGCCGGCCTGCCTGTGCGCCAGGCCGGCAATCCAGCGTGCGCAGGCTCACACGCACGGCGGAAGATCATGCCACGGCACGCCTACCCCTTTGAGTGAAAGGGAACACAGGAAAAACGTGAACTTTTGCATGATGCAAAAAGCCGATACTCGGGCGGACGCCTGCCCTTTTCTTTTCATTCCTCCATTCTTATTTTTAGCTTCGTGTTCGCTCTTCTCCGCTCTTTTGCCGGAAAAAAAACCTACCCCCACTCTTGGTCAAATACATAATGCATCACCTAGAGGAAGAGAGAGAAAGGGGCTCGATATTCTTCGCGTCGCGCCCCTGCCCACACAGAGGCCGGGAGGAGGAGCAGGGGGGGGGGGGAATGCATTTTTCAGGACACGCCCAAGGAAACATAGTGAGCAAAACACCCACAAGATCATGCGAAACCATCCCCCGAGGGATCTGGCACATCGGTAGTCCACCACTGGCGAGCGGTTCGCGGGACGGGCTCCTGGTCGGGCGCAGCTGAGCCCTCATCCACGAGCGCCTCGATGTCGGGCGGTGAGGCGTGCCGGGCGCCATATGCGCACGCGTCCGCCAGATTGGCCCGACACGACCCGCACCGGGGGTTGATGGCCCGACACACGGTCTGACCATGACCCACCAGCAGGGCATTGATCACAGGCCAAAGCTCCCTCGGCAGCCATGTCTCAAGAGACTGACGGTCAAAAGAAAGAGGGGAGGGGGAGGGGTCAAATGCATACAGACAGAGGGGGAGAGGGGGAGAGAGAGAGAGAGAGAGAGACAGGTGAGGGAGCGGAAGAGTGGGCGGAGAAATCAGGCATGGGATCGAAGGAAAAGGACACATACCTGGCGGACCTTCTCAGGCTCGCTATGCTGGAAGGAATGCCAACCCAGGCGTCCGGTGATCCGGGCCACATGAACATCAACGCCGATGCCTGATGAGAAGTCGCCCCAGGCAGATTGCATGCAAAGGTGTGCCTGTGTGGCGAGCAGGAGGGGAGCGAATGTTAATTTGAAGAAATGAATGCACGGGCTGCGACCTCGGAAGAGGGAGCAGGACACAGGGCGCACCATCTTGGGGCCAACGCCGGGAAGAGTTTGAAGGGCCTGAGCTGTGGACGGGATATCCCCAGCATAGTCATCCCGCAGAATGCGACATGTTCGGAGGATATACCTGCGCGGCCCGGGGGGGGGGGGGGGGAGTAAGATTGTCAGTCTCTCAGCACGTGGACAGACCTCCGACAGCGGGGAACAGGGGAGGGGGGAGAGAACTCGGCAGAAAGAGGGGGGGCAGGGAGGGAGGGAGGCAGACGCACTCGGCCTTCCGACGGAAGAAGCTCACCGGTTGGATGGCCTTCAACAGACGGTCATGCACATCGGCCTCGGGGCCCGGAGTTGCCTGGGCCTCTGGCTTGATGCCGGTGCTGGTGGGGAAAAAGGGTGACATTTCCTCCGCAGGCAGGCTGCCATCCGGCTCGAGTTTCATCGAAACCGCTGCCTCTGGAAAGGACCTCGGTGAGGGCTGCTCGCCAGCCGGGAAGGTGTGATCGGCCCCGGAGGCCAAAAGGTAGACATCTAGCAAGCCAGTCATGCGCATGTTGTAGATGGCCTGTGCGGTGACCGGGTCCCGGGTTTGCGCACTCAACATCAGGGCGATCAGGTGCTCGAAGCGCTTTTGCTGGAAACAAGACGATGGGAGGGGGGAGGGGGGAGGAGGAGAGGACGGGTAAGGCTAGGGCCGACAAATGCAGGGAGAAAGGGAGACATCAAAACACAGGGAGGAACAACAGCAGACACACCCGCGGCTCGGCCGTGTGATCAGCCAGACGCTCACACCCTACCACGTCGACCGGCGCTCGGGGCAGGGCCACGCGCTGCTCGGCCAGGGCAAGCATGACCCGACGCCAGCGGGCCGGTGGCAGGCGCTGGTGCCACTCTTTGACACTGACACCGGCGATGGCAGTCGCCCCGACAGGCGGGCTGAACACCGCTCCTGGGCTCTCGATGATGGCCGCCCGCCAGTCGCGGCTATCACTGGCCAGGGCAATGTCCCCGGCTCCGGCGCGTAGATCTCCGCCCACGGGGAGCAGCCTCGGCAGGGACTGCGAAGGCCCATTCACATGGCCGCCGGGCTCATCCTTCACCAGCGAAAGGCTGGCATCCTTGGGAGTGGTGCGAAGGCGCTTGGCGGGGCGAGATGGGGCAGCCGGACGAGACGGAGCAGCAAGAAGCTGCTCGGCAGAGGACCGGGCCGTGGGTGTGGTGGCGGCGGCAGCAGCGGCGGCGGCGGCGGCAATCAAACGACCCGACCGGCGCATGGGTGGGATCTCCGGCTCAATATCGTCCGAGTGCGGCATTGCTTGCAGACGAGGCTCAAGCGGGCGCAAAGACTAGGTCGGCGGAATAGGCGAAAGGTTGGGAAATCGGATTACTGTCCCTCCTGGAAGAGGGGCCAGCGGGGGGGCCACTCAGGTACCCTTTTTCCACTTCCCTCGAGCGGAGCCCCGATCAACCGCCCTCCCCGGCACCAGACAAACTGCGGTCTCGCGAGGCATCGGCCATTTTGCCGCGCCCCCTTCCGCCGCTCATCCCCCGCGGGCAAAAATGCGAAGATCGCCCGCCAGGCCGGAGGACCACCACCGGGCGCGAAATGCACGCTGTCGGGGCCAAAATCCTGTGCGGCCTGAGCATGAGACTGGTGGATGTGTATTCCCAAGCAGGATCTTGAGTTGGCAGTTGAAAGACACCGACAGGGCCCGCACGCACGCACGCGCGCGCGCCTTCGGGCAGCAGCACGACGAGGAGGGGGGGGGGGGGAGGAACCGGGAGCCGAAACCAAGGACAGGGGGAAAAACATCGGGGCAGATCTCCCTCTCCCTGTGCCGGGGCCGTGGGCGCGCGACCTTGCGCACATACATATGCCTGGTCCCCGGCGTTGGGGAGAGCGAGTGGTCGTGGGCATATACAAATGCCTCGGAGACCGGTGACGACCAGTGGCGCTCGCATGACCTCTCCCAGCACCGGCACTGGCACCATCGCCGCATGGGAGAAGGGAAAGGCAGAGGACCATTTGCTCACTCGTCGTTTCGGGAGCGCCGACGAACCACCTGGCTCGCGCAGTGGACAGCCCCATACATGGAGGTGATGGCCGAGAAATCCATGCACTGGACCGTCCCCCGGAAGGACCGGTGGCTGGCGATGTTGCGGGCCACCTTCTCGTGCACGGCCAGGATGTTGCCCTTGCCCATGTTCAGGACATTGCACCCGTAGGCGGCCTGCTGCTCCGGAGTCACCTCGATGATCTCGAAGCCGCGCCCCTTGAGGAAGGTGACGAACGGGACATTGGTGGTGGCCGGGTCCAGAGAGTACTTCTTGGTGACCGGGTCCTGGACGTACAGGTCGACCATGCTGTACGTCGGGCGGGCGGGCGGGCGGGCGGGCGGGCGGGCGGGCGGGCGAGCGGGCGGGCAGCCAGGCAGGCACAGCCAGGCAAATCAAGGGGATGCGGTCGGGCAAAGAGAGGTAAGAAACAGCCCGCATGACATGCCACAGGGGAAGGGAACGCACCGCGGGATGGGAGAGTCCTCAATGGCAATGTCCGACCGCAGGAGGACCAGCTTGTCATCGAGGATGTTGAAGACACAATCCAGGTGCATGCGGTCCTGCGACCGGTCGATGTCATCCCGGACCACGGCCAGCGAGGAAACACCGAGCAGATCATTGTCCATCAGGTAGTTGATGGCCTGGATGTTGGACCGGAGACCGATGCCAACCAGGGCCAGATCCGGGCCGGCCATGAAGAAGTCACCGCCCTCAAGGCGCCCCTCATCGGGAATGCGCCCGACAATGGGGATACCCAGCTTCTGGAAGCAGAACTCCATGATTTCGATCTCCTTCTGACGCTGCTCGGAAGACAGCCGGGCCAGGACCACACCGCGCTGGGTGACGATCTGCTGGTCGCGCGTGAACACCAGGTTCGTCAGCGGCTGCAGCGAGAAGGAAGCCAGGACATTGGTATCGCGACCGGAGGCCATCACGCTGACCAGCGGCTGGGTCATCACAATGTCCACCAGCTGGAAGTCCGACATGGCCTCGATGACCGTCCGCTTGTACTCATCCGACACGTAGTAGTCGATGGTCTTGCCGTCGCACTGCGACGTGCCGCGGTCGTAACGAGGGACCGCCTCAATGGACACCGAGGGGGTTTGCACACAGGCGATGTCCGTCCCGTCGGATGCCAGCAGAACCGGGCTCTGCTCCACCTTGCGGTACACCAGCGACCGGAGGGCCAGCTCCTCGAGCATGATGCGCGCATTGACCGACACGTCGGTGTCCATCATCAGAATGTCACGGACATCGAAAACCTTGATGTCTGTCCCAACCAGGCCGAGGGGAGGTTGGACGAGATGCGGGACCGGGAGAAGTAGAAGAATGGAGGGAAGGCCGGGGGGAGGTTGGATGAGGGGTGGGGTGTGGGGAGGAGAAGGACGAATGAGAAGACGGTAAAGCGCACGATCTGCTTGCCAACACCAGGCTCGCTGATGATCACCAGCTCGGCGATGTCATTCTCGTGCACCTGGATGGCATCGATGCGAGTCTTGGGGTTGTGAGACTGGAGGTGGGCGATGTTGGACATGGCGGACAATCACCCGGGCGAGGGGGGCAGAGGGAGAGAGGGGAGGCAGCGGCAAAGAAAGCCGGCGGGGAGAGGGGGGGAGGGAGGGGGGGCGCGGGGGGGGGGGGGGGGGGGGGGGCCGGGGGGGGGGGGGGGGGGGGGGGGGGGAAGAAATTGGCCCACCCACTGATGCGCGAGCCCAGGCGCGGGGGAGGGTGCATATGTCGTTTGTTGTGCACCTCCGGGAGCCGGGGCAAGGCCCGCGCGTTCGTTGTTGGACCACGCTTGATCGGGGGACTGGCCCCCGCACCTTTTCGCCCCCCGATGGTGATGACATGACAAGCCATTCCTCCTCCGTGTCTACTTTGCATTGGGGGATGTGGTCGTCCGATCCGATTGCCCCGGGAGCGACGGCGCCCGGGAGGAGGGCGCACACCCAGGCCAGTCGGGGTCTGTGTCTGTTGGCTGGAGAAATTACCAGCGAGGCAAGCAGCACCCCTGCCGGGGAGAGAGACGGGGGGGGGGGGGCCGGGGGGAGAACAAGCGTGCCACACTCCCGCTGCCAGTGCCCGGGGTGGCCAACATCGCCTGAGGCAGGGGGGCAGCCCCAAATTGCCACCCGAACCCTCGGGTGGTCGAGATCGTCTACCAAAGGTGGCCCGGTCCTTGCCACTGGCCCCCCCCCCCCCCGGCCCTTCTCCCCGGCCGGGTGTGGTGTTTGAAGACCGCGTGCTCCTGGCGGATTGACGCGCCCGACCCGGCCTTGTCCCGAGCCCCCGGCTGCCGGCGGCGCCGCCGCAACAACAGGGCGCACAATACGTCAGAATAAAATGCGCCTCCACTGGCCAGGGGCAGGAGGTGGGGGCAAGTGCCACTGCCACTTTCACTGAAGAAGAGGCCCAGGCGTGGGCTCCAAGCCGGCCGCGGCCAGCCCCCCGCCCAGCAACCAGCCCCCGCAAATGGAAGATCGATCGACGCTCGGACCACCGAGCCAACAGTGGGCATGCCAACGGATACGACACGCCATCAAATCGGATTGTCTGGCGCCCAGCACGGACAGAGGGGCGCCGGGGCGGCGGAGTCCCGGAGCGCACCGCGCAAGGGGGGGAGGCCCACACGGCTGTCGTGGATTACTCTCCTTCACAGGGTGGGTATAAGCCACATACACACACACACACACACACACACCGAGAAGGGGAAAGGTCTATTTTTCTGCAGAGCAAGTCAGTGGAGGGGGAGGGGAAGGAGGTGGAGAAGGTGTGTGCTACTCCCGGCGGTGTCTCCGGCGTCGGGGCCGCGAGGAATCCGGGCTCCGGCTACGACCACGGCCTCGATCGTGACAATGGCGACGATCGCGCGAGCGGCTCCGGCTGCGCGACCGCCGCCGGCCGCCCCGGCGCTCTCGCGCTGGCCTTTGCTCCTGCGTGTCGGAATCCGAACCACTGGTCGAGTGGCTGCCCATTGGGGACTCGGCGAGGGCCGATGGGTCGCGGAGGGGACGTCCTCCCGAGGGGACACCTTCAGCTAAAGGCAGGAGGCTGGCTCGGAGCCGACGCCGGGCAGCATCCAGCGTGGCTGTGGACCAGGCTCGAGAGACTGGCCGGCGAGCAGCCCCGGGCGCCGGGTTTCCATGCGTTGTCGGCACAGTTTGGCGCTTGCCGGCAGGCTGGTCATGCTCATCTTCATGTGGAGTGTCCGCATCTGATCCCTCATCCGAGGAAGAGGAGGAGGCCGCCGCAAATGCCTGGTCCAAAAGCCGAGTTCCGGATTGGCCACGGCCGCGGATGGCAACAGCACCGGAGGCAATCCCCGGCCCGGACAGTGCCGCGGAGAAGCCCTCGGGCAAACCGACATCGTCGACCGGCAGGCCACCGGACCTCGCATCGAAGATGCTGTTGCTTTGGCCCATTTCGGCCAGGGCGCGCGAGAGGCGTGCCCGTTGATCGGCCGGTAGGATGCCATTCCGGGGAAGGGGGCGTGCTGTCGGGCTGGGCCGGGCGGCGGGAGGCTCAGGCGCTGGTGGGGGCAGCCCGGCCACATTTTGGCGAGTCCCGGTGGCCTCGCCCACCAGGGCTGCCACAAGGCGCCGGTCCAGGCGTCGACGAATTGGCTCGGGGCCAGAATGCCCGGACACGGAATAGCGCGAGGTGGCCATGCTTACCGACCGGGCAGATGGCCTCATGAGCATGCCCTCGTCACCCACATCGGCATCAACGGCCAGGAGCTGGTCCAGCTCAGCACTGGAAAGGTCCCCAGGGGTACGACCTGCAGCGCGCCGACCGCTCATGCTGACTAGGCCGATGGGGGGGGGAGCGGGGGGGGGGCGAGGGGGATGGTGTTTCTCCACGCGCCGGTGCACCTGGAGAGAGAGGGGGGGGGAAGGCGACGCGAGGGGCGAGAGAATGGTGGGCGGAGCGGGCGGCAAGCGGGAACTATGAAACGGCCAGGAAATCTGCACACTCTCGGGGCGGGGCGCCGAAGAAATGGACCGGCGAGGCTCGATTGGGATCGGCGCCGGTCCTGGCTGGATGATCATCTGTCACGACATTTCATGCTGGAATTTGAGCCCGGCGATGGTCATGTGCCTGTTGAAGCGACCGGGCGCCGCAACCGGCCGCGCCGGTGCATCCGCCTGAGGCCCGACGGAGGGAGAGGTGCACAGGAACAGCCACAACAGAGTCGAGCTTCTCGGCTCGGGAAACCGCCACCACCAGCCCACTTTTGGACGAGCCGGCAAGAGACGGGCGAGGGGAATCCAGGGCGAGGGGAAGAATAGAATCGCTGCCACATGCGCGGTAGCAGTGGAACGGCCACTATCTCCGAGAATATGTCCCTCGACCATTCTCGGTGTAGGCCGCGGGTAGAAGACCCTTGGACAAGGCGCCTGGTCTCCAGTGCGACATCCAGACCCGGTCGGGCCGGCCCACCGCGGCTACCGCGGAGTTGTGGACATTTTTCCGCGGTCCCAGCGGGATGCATCCCTCGCTCCGGCAATGGAAGGCCGTTCGAACGCGGGCCAAATCTGCTAATACCCCGAACAGCTGATGGCTGCTGTGCGGACATTTTCCCTGTATCATGCGTCTTCCTGGTGTCTCGTGTTACGCCCATGTCCCCGAATGACATTCTACGAAGACTCCTTTCCCCGTTCTCAGTCCATGTGCCAGTTCAGTGCAGCCTACTTGAGCCGCTTGGTGGCCCCCAGCGTCTCGTCCCTCCCCCTCCGTGGGTCCCCTCTCCAAAATGCCCGGAGCCACTGAGGGGGGGGGGGGGGGTCCGACAAGCGGAACGAATGCGCATGCATTTGCACGCCTTCGCACATCCACACATGCCAGGCCCGTAGAATGCCGAGCGGGGGGTCGGCGGTCCACCTCTTTCGGAGTTCCCCCCGTCGGTGGCCGATTGCCGGTCTGATCGCGCGGGGCCTCCATTCTCGACGCCTCACTAAACAAAGGACCCCGGCCCGGGCCCACTACGGCCTTGGCCGCTGTGGAGGCAACTTAGTTCAGGAACACTCTCCCTCTCCTTCCCTCCTCTCCCCCCCCCCCCCCCCTTCCCCCGCCCCGCCCCTGAAGAAGTCAGTTCACCTATCTCCTCTTTCCTTGGGTGGTCCTGGCAATTGACACCCATCGTTCTCTGCTCTACTTTCGCGCAATCCAAAGGGAGACGTGATGCTTCGCCTGTCCACCCTCGCCGCCTCCCTGAGCTCGAGGCTTGTGCTCTCGGCGCGGCCGGCCGCCGTGGCCGCCGCCCCGGCTGTCATGAGCCACCTCTCGGCCGCCACCCAGCCGGCCCCCGGGGCCGCCCCGGTTGCCCACTACTCCTCCCGTGGTAAGATGACCGATGAGGCTCTCTTCCAGATCGGTGTCAAGGTGTCCCCCTTCCTCACCTCGGAGGGCATCTCCTCGGACATCATCCGTGCCCAGGCCAAGGTTGCCACCACCCAGGTCCGTTTCTCCTCCCGCCTGGCTCTCCCCCCTGGCCACCCTGCGCCATCACGCCATCCGCGCCCGCCCCCCGTCCCCCCCCCCCCCTCCCTTGGCTAACATTCCCACAGAACAAGTGGGAGAAGGGGCTCGTCCGCACCGGCACCCTCGCTGTCAAGCTCGGCATGACCAGTCTCTATGATGAGCATGGCACCCAGCATGGCGCCACGGTTCTCCACATGAACGAGGTCCAGGTCCTTGAGCACAAGACCATGGAGAAGCACGGCTATACTGCCCTCAAGGTGGGCGCCGTCAACAAGCGTGGTACCCGCTGGAACAAGGCACGCCGCGGCCAATTCGACGCCATCGGCATTTCCCGCAAGCATGTCACCGGGGAGTTCCGCTGCTCCCCGGAGGCGCTGCTGCCTGTCGGTGCGATCCCCCCTCCGCGCTCACACATCCGCATGTCAGGACGGGGAAAGAGGGGGGGGGGCCATTAGGAGGGGAGAGCCAACCAACTAACATGATGCAATACCTCGATCTGTGGTCTGCTCTTCCGGCATGCTCCCTCCCCGGCCAAGGCCACGTCCTGGAGGCCACCCACTTCTACCCCGGTCAGTACATCGACGTGACCTCGGTCAGGTACGCTCCCCGCCTGGCTTTGGGCCACCACTTTCGGTTGGAAGCACAGTGCCTGACCTTCACACACGTATGTGCCCTCTTTTTTTTTCTCGCCGCTCCCCTGCGCCTCTCTGCCTCTCCCTCGTGCCCTCCCTCCCCCTTGCGCCCATTAGCGTTGGTAAGGGCTTCCAGGGCCCGATGAAGCGCTGGAACTTCGGCGGCAACCCCGCCACCCACGGTGTGTCCAAGTCCCATCGTAGCCATGGTGGTACCGGTGCTTGCCAGGACCCGGGCCGCATTTTCAAGAACAAGAAGATGGCCGGTCGTATGGGTGGCAAGCGCGTCACCGCCATCAACCTCCAGGTCCTCAAGGTGGACACCGTCCTCAACCTGCTGTATGTCAAGGGCGCGGTCCCGGGCTCCACTGCCACCTACGTGCGCGTGCGCGACGCCGCCAAGAAGGCGCACCTGATTGCCCCGGCTTTCCCTACCTTCCAGACTGAGGCCGTCCTCAAGGAGGCTGGCATTGAGGAGCTCCCCCGCGAGCTGCTGATCCCCAAGGTGGGCATCGACCCCAACGAGTACCTGTGAGTGCATGCGCGTCCCCTGTCGCCCCTACTGTCCTCCGCCATGCCCCCCTCCCCCCGCCCTCCCCCCCATGTCCATATGTCTGTGGGGGAAGGGGAGGGGGGGGGGGGGGCTGGTTGGTGTGTCATCTCTGTGCCCTCCCTCCCCTCCGTCCTTGTCCCCCTCCCCCCTTCCCGTTCATATACCTCCCCGCCTCCCCTTCCCCAAGGCTGGACTTTGGCCTTTGGCATGTAGTACATCCTCCACAATAGATCTGAATAGTTTCCCCCCCCCCCCCCCTCCCCTCGAGAAACAACCTCCCTTTCTTCTCCTCCATCTGGCCTCTTTCCGGTCCAGATGCGAGAATATGGCCGAAAGGATGCAGGGTCGCGTAGCCGGCCGTGCCTGACCCGGCCAGGGCCGGGAGACATGTGAGCACACACACGTGACTGACCCAAAAAACAACGTCGTCGGGGCCCTCCCCCGGTCGGAACATCGAAAGTTTCGAGAGGAGTGGCCTTTTTTTATTGGCCGGATGTTTCCGGGGGGAGGTCCCTTTTGTGGCTCGGCTCCCGATGCCGGCTTTTCGTTGGGAGCCTACGGCTCTGCCCCGTGCGGACAGTTCCTTGTGAGTTGGCCTCGCCCCGCTCTCTTGAGGCCAAACTTGGATCCGCCGTTCCGCGACAGGCCAGCCAGGGTCTCCGCCCCTTGATGCCTCCTGTTCCCCCCCCCCCCCCTTCCTTTATGCGAGGTTTCTCGGCCTATCCGCCCGGGCGGCCTGGCTCACTAACCCACACCCCCGGTCGTGTTGCCCCCCCCCCCCCCACGCGGACGTCCCGGACCGGCGGGCCGGGGGTCCGCGCGCCCCGAGGTTTGCCCCGGTTGCCCCGGGGCAGGGCGTGTGGATCCGGGCTCTGCCGCTGTCTGTGTGTACGTGTGTGCATGGTGTGGGTGCTGGTGGCAGAGTGTGCGCGCGCGGGGGCGGGAGGCCGGGGGGGGGGCCGGGCGCGGGCGCGGCAGCCGGACCGCGGATTGCATCTCAAGTGCGACCGCCGAGTCGCCGCATCCCGGTGCCGCGTTCTCACCGTTTGTTGACTTGTTTTTATATACTCTGTCGACTTAACGTTCGCAGTGCGTGTCTGGCCCTACCTTTGCTCCCCCCCCTGTTTTCCAGTCGGATGCCGCTGTTGTCATTTCGCATCCGACCGTATCCCTCTCCTTCCGCTCCCTCTAACATGGCTCTCTCGCTCTCCTCTCCTCCCCCCTCTCCCCTCCTCCCCCCCCTCCGCGCGCCGCGCAAGCAGAAAATGGTCAAGCAGAACACCACCAAGACCCTCGACGAGGTTGTCACCCGCGACTACACTGTCAACCTGCACAAGGCCATCCACGGCAAGAGCTTCAAGAAGCGCGCCCCCACCGCCATCAAGCACATCCGCAAGTTCGCCACCATGCACATGGGTACCACCGATGTCCGCATCGACCTGTCCCTGAACAACGCCGTCTGGAACAACGGTATCCGCAACGTCCCCAAGCGCATGCGCATCCGCCTTGCCCGCCTCCGCAACGACGATGCCAACGCCACCGAGAAGCTGTACACCGTTGCCTCTTTCGTCCCCGTCCCCGGCAACCTGACCAAGTCCAACCGCGGTGCTCGTGCGTGCTTCTTCCTCTCCGCCCTTTTCCCCGCTCGTCCTTTGCCGGGCTTCCTCTCGTCTTCCCCGCTGACCCCCTCTCGTCTTCCCTCGCCCCTCGTGCGCGCGCGCGCGCGTCCTGCATACCACCTTTCAACTACCCCACCCCACAGAGGCTCAGACCTCCGTCGTCAGCAACGAGTAAGAGTGCCTCGTGTACTCGGCCTCCTCTTGTGTGATGTGTGTGCATGGTCTGCCATGCGTCTGCGTCTGCAAGTTTTGCTCCCACATGTAGTTGATACACTATGGTACTTGACTTCGCGTCAGGTATCGGTTGCAGTTCACCAGTGTTCAATTTGCGGGTGCCAAGTTTTTCTGTGTGCGCTCCACACCACACCTCTCCCCCCCACACACCCGCGCAGCCATTGTCGCCCAACCGCACGCACACATGCGCACCCGAGACCACCGCCCCTCTCTCCCTCCGCCGCGTGGAGTCGTGAACGGCCGAATGTGTCCTCCCTCGCTTTCCCTCTTCACCATAGGCCCCCTTCTCTTCCCGTCTCTCTCTCTCTCTGTGTGTATCGGTCCCCGCCTCCTCGTGTACTCCGCCGGCGTGAGTGCGTGCCAATCCCATGTGCACGCACACACACATACGCGCGCGTGTCGTACTGCCGCTCTCTTTCCTCGCCAGCGCGTGCACTTCGCTCTCTCTCCCCCTCCTCTTTCGGGGTGTGAGAGGAGAGTCGTTGCATGCGTTCGCCTGTGGAGAGGGCGGTGTGGCGGGCGGCGGGACTGAGACAGCAGGGGGAGGGAGATGGGATGAAGGGGGGACATCCACGCCTGTGGGGGAAGGAGACTCGAGGGGCGACCATCTTGCAGCATTGTGTGTGTGTATGGTTGTGTGTCGTCATGGCATTCGCAACGTGGTGGCGGTGTGTGTTGTGTGTGAGCATGGGGTGGATATCTGTCAGATTGCTTGGGGAGGGCAGGAGGCAACCGGGGGAGGTGCTGTTTGAGAGAGAGAAGGCAGGATGTGGCCTGTTTCGGCTTTTTGCAGCCGACTTTCCCTGCGTGGATGGCAGCAGGCCCACGGGCAGGGGGGGCGCGGGGTCTGGCTTTGGGCCGCCCCTTCTGACTCTGGCGTCCACGCGCGTGCCGCGTCCCGGCCGCACGATGCGCAGCGGGGAGAAGCCGGGAAGAGGAAGATCAAGGCCAACTCGCCACAGAGGCGGCTCCTCGGTTCTTAACTCAATTACTTAATTGAATAACACAACGTGATCACCCGACAACACAAGACCAGCGCTGTGCTTCCTCCGGCGGCTTCTCCTCGCATGTGTCTTCCTGGGTTGTGTTTACTCCTCCGTTGCGCGAAAAGCAGCCCCCCCCCCTTACCCGGGATACCCTGCCTCCTGATGGCAGCGCTGTTTCTCCCAACCCGGCGGTGGCCAGGCGACTGCACGCAATCTGCCTGTGCTTGGGCGGAGAAAGGGGTGCGCCTTCGGCCTCACAATCACACGCCGTCCCCCTCTCGGGGGCACCAGCAGCAGCGGTGCTGTCCTTGAGATGGCATCCTTGCCCCAGTGCCCTCTCCGAGAGGGGTGTCGGGGCGACACCTCCTCTTCGGGTAGTTGGCTGGGTGCGAAAGTATGCCCCGAGCCAGCCCCCTCCTCCCCGGAGCAGGTGACAGAATTCACTGCAGGAGACAAGGATTGAATATTATTGAGTTTGTGTGTTTTCATCGGGTTTTCTGTGGGGTCACACACGCGGGATAGAAAGAAGTGGTGCGTGAAGAGGGGGGGGGGGGGGACAGTGCGCAAAAAAAAAACCGCGCATGTATCCGGC